ACGTGACAGAAAGTATAAATCAATTTGCGGAGTTTGATCCTGACCAATTAAATTACCTAAACGAATCAATTCAATAAATAGGCGCTGAATCTGATAGTGAAATTGAAACACTAGAAGAAAGCTACCCAAGCGAAACAAAACCGGACATAAAAACGGGATCTAAAATGACACAAACAGTGGTAGATTTCAGCAAGCTAGCCACATCTCTGATACCAGACTTTGATGGTAAGCCGGAACATCTACAAAGTTTTCTAGATTCTTTGAATCTATTAGGAACCTTAAAAGGTACACATGAGCCAACAGCTATATGCCTAATAAAAACAAAGCTAAGAGGCCGTGTAAGAAATTTGATAAGTAATGAGCAGACAATCAACTGTCAAGTGCGGAAAAAGGAAAATCGGTAGAAGTTGTATCTGCTAAGATTCTTAATCTGCAACAGAAAAATAAAACAGCTAACCAGTACACCCAAGAGGTGCAAAACCTGGCAAAGACCCTTGAAGGTGCTTATATAAGTGAAGGTCTAAGCCAATCTCTGCAAACAAATACAGCACTACAACAGCTGTGAAAGCCATGACCCAAAACTGTTCAAATGATAAGGTAAAACTTGTCAGGCAGGCAGACACATTCACAAATATGAATGATGCCGGTTCTAATTTCGTCAATAGTTGCACGGGGATAACAGGTCAAAGTAACACTGTCCTGTATTATCGACGAGGTGAAAACAACAATAATAGAGGAGGCCGAGGTTATAATCGTGGCAGAAATTACAACCCCAACAATTACAACCGAGGCGGTAACAACAGCAACAACAATAATTACAATAGCCGTGGAGGAAGAATAGGCGAAAATCGAGGAAGATACCGAGGTAATTCCAACCAAGGCTATAATAGTAACAATGTGAGAATGGCGCAAAATACGCCGGAAAACTCGCAGAACCCTTTAGGAAACTACCAGTAAATGCAAAGGTTCATTCCGTCTATTACAGTCTTAATATATTTGTCAATTTTGATAATCATTCAACTGAAAATAAACTCACATTCCTAATATATACTGGTGCAGATATCTCACTTTTAAAAATAAATTCAGATAAATTCAAAATTCAAAAAGAAAAAATTATAAACATCCAAGGCATAGGCCAAGGTGCAATAAAATCTCAGAGAAGAACTTCAATAGAACTTCAATCAACAAAATATATTATTCCACACGAATTTAATTTAGTAGATTCAGAATTTTGAATACCGTGTGATGTAATAATAGGCATTGATTTTATTAAAAAATTCCATTGTCAATTCGATTTCAAACCAAGTAAAGACTGGTTTATAATTTGACCTCAAACTTTAAATTATCAAATTTATGTTCCGATAACATATAGTGCTGGCAACAATACAGTTCTTCTGCCAGCCAGATCCCAAGTAATTCGAAAAATAGACATTAGTACATTAAATGATTATATATTCGTTCCTAATCAAGAAATACATAATGGAATTTATGTTGCAAATACAATAGCAGCATCCAAAAATGCATACGCCTTCTAAACACAACTAATTTCGACCAATTGGTCAAAGTAAACAAAATACAATATGAAAAGTTAACAGATTCATTCATTCATAATACTTATGCGGAAAATTGAAACGAACAAGTACTTTAAAAATTAAAGAAAAATTGTTCAGAACAATTAAAAAGTCAACTAACAGAATTATGCACCAAGTATAGTGATGTGTTCGGACTGGAAACCGAACCAATAGCGACAAATAATTTGTATAAGCAAACATTAAAACTTAAAGATGATGAACCTTGGTAAACTATATGGATACATATGACCTGGGTAGTTTTCCTTGGAATAGGTGGTTTGAGAAAATTGTGCAAAAAGATCGGCAATTGCCTGATCATTGTTTGCCGACATATTGAAAAATGATAGCGAGAATGGATGTGCCGACGTTCTACGCTTAATGTTTGCATAGCAGGATATATATCCTGACTGAATAATTTGTGTAACAGTTGTGATGCGTTCGAAGCGTCTCACAACGTTCCAACTAGTTTTTATCGCAAATACAATACTACATGTATATGTATATGTATGCCTAAAATA